CCGCCCTTCTGACATCGGAATCCTCGTCGTCAAGTGCACTCACAAGTCGGTTGATCACGTTACTCGTTGCTGCTTTTTCACCTATCTTACCGAGAACCTTCCATGCAGTACTTCTTATATAGGCCTCGGTATGTTTGGTTTGCAGCAAGAGTGTATCTACTAATGAAGGAATAGGAATGGTGAGTGGAATGGACGATATGAATGAGAGCACTTCATAAAGGTTGGTTGTTTGTTGACTCGTTAATAACTTGATCAGTTCCATTTGAATTTCTGGTTCGTTGTAGATTGTACTACATGATCGAAGAGTCTGATTTAAAGAATCACGTAAGTACGATGATTGCGCAGTAAGAGCATGTTCAATGCATTTTATGATCATATCCATTAATCGATTGCTATGAATACGCGTTCGCTTGCAGTCTGTCTCATCAAAACAGGATATCACAAGATCCATGTGCCGTATGCCAACAAGATCTAAAGGCTCATTCAATAGGGTATCCCAGAATGTGTTGATACTTTGCTGTTCATCACTCTTATTTAATAGGCCAGCTGCAAAAATGAAAACTAATTGAAATCTTGGATTGTATTTTTGTTTCTGAATGAAGTAAACTGCCTTGTCACGTGTGGTACCTGACAGAGTCTTGGCTAAGTAACGAGCTGCAAAATATTCTTGGAAACTGATATGGACAAAGTAATGATCTTTGTCTACTTCGATTCCTGTCTCACTACCATATTGAGTGGACGATTTTAATATTCCAAGATTGAGTAAATGTGGATGATCGAAAAACGAACACTTTGTCTCATTCTTAGCTTTTCTAATTAAATCTGGACGTAAAAGGATAGCGTTGCTTTCCATTGCGCGAAAAGCCAGACTTTCTAAGAATGCTAATTCATTCTGGCAGTGTTGATAAACCTCTGCTCTGTCCAACAAACTTATCAGATTGGTTGGAATTTCTCTTTGCTTCTCCAAATATCGACGACAAATCCATTCAATCAATTTATCATAGAGCACCGTCATCGTTATTGTTTTTGTTTCTGACCAATCATTATTACTCCAAAAACTGCAAATAAGTTCTAGATTGATTGGAATATGTGCAATACCCCAAATCCTAGGGTTCAATTTGAGAAAGGTGAGTAATTTCTTATTTTGTGCTGATGAATTTTGTAACTCATTTCTGAACTGATCGAAGAATAGCTTGACATAGTTGATGATACTTTCATCTGTAAAGCCTGTGATTTCCATCCGCACTGGGTACGGTAAAGTATTCATGTATGGACGAGATGTAATGATGTGATCTGAAGTGTCCAGTAATTGATTAACTAAGCGTTTTAGATGAGCTGACTCGTTCTGCACTATTTCATCGTAGCCATCCAAAAGCCACAGAATACGATTGTCACGAAGTTCTTGTTGTAAAAGTTGTTTGTCTTTCTCTGATAGGAAAGGATAAGAGAGATATTCTTTTTCAACGATGTCAGCTATGGAATAAATGGTGCCAAGTGGATAACGATTTTCTGTTAAAGATCGTAAAGGAACGAGCACAACTAGTTCATATTCTGACCAAATTGCACCAGTTGCCCATTGGTACGCAGCATATCGACAAAATGTTGATTTTCCAATACCAGCTCGACCAAAGACTAGCACCTTTCTGGTCTGATCTTTACATGTTTTGAAAATATCTTTGACATCGATTGGAGTCTTACTGCCATAAATTTGTTCAAATGTACCCATAATTGTATCAATGTTTTGAGTATCACGAAGTCTATTTTCTCTTTCTTGGTGTTTTTTCGTTTCTACTATGGCCAAATTGATGTAACTCTGTTCGATCGGAAAAGATTTCGATGGATTCACAAAGTATTTTATTGTACTATTGCGTATGTACTCGTATTTGATCTGTTCGAATAGAATATTGGCCCGTGTCGAATTATCTTCCGATACATACTGTAGATCTTGCAGTTTCCAGATTAAGGAATTCGCTGTTTGCTGAATGCTTGAGTTTGACAGATGACGAAAATCAATGTATTCAACTTCTTGTATCATAAATTTCAGCCAATAGACAGGTTGCCAGTTTTCTTCAGCTCTGATCAGACACGGAATGATCTTCTTATGAAGTTTATTCGCATACTGTAGTTCTATTTGACAGCAGGTCGATTTTTCGTACTCTGGACTAATAAAACAACAAATGAATGCTGCATTTTCCACTCCAACTGCTAGACTGAAACACAGACATACAGATGATATCAGTAGAGTCAGTCTCATGATCATAATTTGAATGCATATACCTGTCGTAAATATTATCACTCCTTCTTCTGTCCTTATCGAACCAAATAGGAATCGATTGATCGCGCAGAACTTGAAGTATTTGTAAGATGATAGTTTCATCACTGACATCATGGGAAAACATGACGTGTTTGCCTTGAGGTATGCTCGTACTAGAAGATAGAAATATCAACAATATATCTGTGTCAACGATTGATGATTCTCTCAGAAGCTGACGTCTCTGATATGAATGAGAAAGATTCATAGCACTCAAAGTTACTTATGCGAAAGATTAATCGTCAGGTGAAAACAATTCACTCACGATTCTTTGAAAGAGAGCATGAATGGTCCGTTGTTGACTTGAAGTGGTTCAGTTGTGCGATATATTCGTGTACCTGGCATAAGGATAACTTCTTGTTCTTCAGGATTAGCTGAATACTGTGAAACATCTCTGCCATTTATCGTTTCAATAGCATAAAAGGTATCCGTGTTGTCGAGAAAAGGCTCGATGATCTTGAGATCTTTCGAAGTAGAAGTTATCGCCCACCAAGTTTGAATAGCATAATCAGCAGGGTTAAAATTGACTCTCTTCGATAGACCGCGCCACACAGTACCCTTGAATGAAGGTAACTTGTTGAGAGCGGTAATAAAGAGTTTCAGGTAGATGAACCATGGTCTTAGTGCCTCTCTATCCATAGCACGAAGATGACGGTTTAGTGTCGAGGAAAATTGGTTAGCCATCGTGTGAAGATAGATGGCTGCAGATTCGTCTACTGTTAATATACTCGTTTTCCTGCATTGTACCTTTGCTTTTATGACGTAATTAATGGTGTCAGGAATGACATCTGTGATGCTTTGAACAGCTTCTTCCAATGTCATGATTCGCTGGTCTTGGTAACCATAGATCGGACTTAAACTTTCATCATGATGGATAGCATCAGGTTCGTCCAAAAATTTGTTCTCCATCGTTGTTTTTTTTTCGTATGATGAATAGATCGTAGATAACCTAGAAGGATGGATACAAGTCGAATGAGGTTGGAGATTAAAAATTAGTATCACGGCTTGTCCAAACGTAACGCTGTTACGTTTTTGACATACTCTTCTCCAACTTTCTCGAAAAGTTTAAGAGCTAGGAAGTTCGTTCAAACGTCATTCGACGCAGCTTATCGAACTTCATTTATCATATAAAAATGACCTTTTTTGATTGAAGTCTCAGGCATCTAGAAATGTTTTATCATGGCGTAACGCTGTTACATAAAAGGACCCTTTTTTCCAGTGCCACTGAGAAAACTCTAATCTCTTGCAAAATCATTTCTTCAAATGTAATGCTCCAAGAATCACTTTTGTAGAGCATTGAATAGACTTTCAGGCAGTAAAAAAGATTTTCTCTAAAACATTTTTGTTCAAATAAAAAATGCAAAAAACAAACGTAACGCTGTTACATTTTTCGTAACGCTGTTACAGTTTTTTGTTGACCAATTTTGAGGCACTTAATGTACTCAGAATTACTTGATTTTTATAATTGTTACTGTTTTTAATGTAGACAGTCTCCTCTGCAAAAATGAGATTGATACATTGATCTGAGAGCTCATAAACTGGGCAGGAAGTTGGAAACTTTATCGAAGCTTTCAATCTGTTCTGAGCTACCAAAGTCAAAACTAAATAGACCATTTTGTAGAGAATTTAATTCTGCATCGAATGATATGTCTCTTAGCCCTTGTTGAAAAAGTTTCTTGGTTAAAAAATCCAAAATACGGTTTTTGAAAATTTTAAAATCTGGTTTTTGAAAATTTTAAAATCTGGTTTTTGATATCAAAATCTGATTTTTATGCTAACTCAATATCAAATTCGTAATCAGCGTAAAAAACTGCATCTAATAGTCCAATGAGATCTGTCCAACTCGAAAAAAAATTTTTTCAAAACTTGATCAGCGAAGTGTCGCGTTACGTGGACAAGCCGATCAACACTTTCTCAGAAACATCATACATTCGGTGTGCAAACTATCATTGCAAGTCTAATAAAGACAAGGGAGAAAAAAGCAGATTTTGATATCTAAAATCTTTGGGAATCATTGGAAATCTTTGAGAATCTTTCGGAACCTTAAAATGAGGCACGTTACAATAACAATATAGTAGTGAATTATCGGCATTGAATGGGATTGGTATTGACCGGCTTTTCATATTGATTGTACTGGTACCGCTACATTCCTAATTTGTCCGTTAAAGAAAGGACCCTTTCAGCAAAGAATGATTTTTCTATAATGGTTTACCAAAACTTTTCGCATGTGAGAAGTTCGAATCTGTTATTAGTTTCTGAAAATTTTGAACTTGATTGCCTAGTCAAGTAAACTAGTTCCTTCCACTGATAGTCAAACTTAGTACAAAATGTAATTTTTTCAAAAATCTCTTCCTTTAATCGAAACTTCAAGTACACAACTCTAAAATTTTAATTGCAGATTTAAATTCCCACGACTTCCATTATTTTTAATCAAACTTCATAAAAACCGTTATTTTTGTGAAAGACCTTTCTTCATTGAAAAAAACAGGACGTAACAATAACTATATCATTAATACTAATGCTGGTCGATAGCATAGGCGGCGGAGCCACGAGACCTGGGTAGGCTCGAGCCTCGAGCCTACCCTAGATTGGATTTGGGTAGGCTTGGGTAGGCTCAAACTGGAACAGATAAAGGCTTGGGTAGGCTCGAGTTATCCTAAATTAAACATATAAAAAAGCTTGAGTAGGCTCGAATCGTCTTAGATTGAGGAGATAAAAGAGGCTTAGATAGGCTCTGTTTAATGTCAAAATTCTCTAAAGGGTGGTTCAAAAGTTTCGACCACTCTCTATAAATCGATAGTATCTACAACAAACTAATATGAAGTTATTGATCAAATTACGTCATCTTTTAGAGAAAGATATGAATTATCATCTGAAAAAATATTTGGAAATAGATCTGGCATCTCACCAACACTTTGTAAAAAAAAAAGAGAAAAAAAGATACCCAGCATTCTTGAAAAAAAGAGACTTTTTAATAGAAAAAGAGGAGAAAAAGAGGCGAACAGTTTCCTTTCGAAGAAAACTAAAACTCACCGGCACTATAGTACTATAGATCCGACAAAACTCGTACGTTATCAGTATAGGTTGAATATGACTTGAAAGAGAAAAACAAAAACGAAACTTCCAAATTGTTCAGAGATTTTTGTGCAGCTGCTTATTTATCCATTAGAAAACCGGAAAACATCAGAAAAATATTCTAAATATTCTATCTGCATAGTAGCTGAGTATAGTATTACTGTCTAACTAAGTAGGTATATAGAAATAGAAACAATCAAAATTCATTAAATGTTCTTTTTGCGTTTTGTTCCTTTTTTTCGGATGGCTACGCATGTGAGAAAGTTTTTCTTGCGCTTTTTCAGTTTTCGGCAATTCTTCCGTGATTTTTCGCAAGTCAGTTTCACTTTTCCGTTTCTCAACATAAATTAATACATTGGTTGCAACTGTGTCCAGACAGCAGGTTTGTGGGAATCATTTGACCGCGTGCTATCGAAAACGCATAATTTTTCGCAGTGACATATGATCATCTTCTTGGGTTCTGTATAAAACGACTTACTTCTATTGAGTAGATTGTATGATCTCTTACTTTTTGGTTATCGGATGCCACTGTTTGTTGCTGTTGCATTTCATCATATCCGATTTCTTCCAAGTATCATCAAACCGTTGTCAATATTAACCCATGTCAAGCAAACACGCTCGTAATTGGAGAAATACGGCGTTTCATATCGCCCAGTAATGTGATCGTATAAATCCATGATTGCATGCGCAAAAATATGATCGTTTATAGACAAACAAAGCTCGTCTACACTTTTCGTTTTACTTTGTATTTTTTCGTATACGATTACATTTCTCCGTGTACGGTTTGGAGATATACGAACCTCCAAAATGTGATTGTATACGAAGAAACTCGGAAGAAGAGGAAGAGGGATTACTTCATTTTCTGATAAGCAGAAATCTTCATCTTATGTTATCATACTATCGGAAGGTATCTTGCTGAACAACTCCCATTGAATCTGACAGAATTCTAGACTGAATCTAGTCATCCTAGGAACTCTTTGCTTTGAAGCATGCGCTACGCTACGAGTTACCTATCTATTGTTAGATTCATATCACAAGCTTCTCTGGAGCCGAAAAAAATGGTCAAGAAAAGTGAGCTCGAGATTATAATTTTACATGTCGATTTTAACCAGAAAAATATGTTAAGATCGTGAGAGAATGACAATTTCATACTGGAAACATAATTGAGTGCTTTTGCTTCCGCTAGAGAACCACAAAAATTGGGTTCCGATTATGGATATATAATATCGCTGAAATTGATCACTAAAATCATATACTTTAGCTTCCTTAGCTATGCAACTTGACTGATCAGCACATCAGTTTGTTATGTGATATTTTTGTATGATACGGTAACAATAATCAATATATTCATGAATGTTTTTGTCAACGACCTTACTTCTTCGTGAGAAAAGAGGAAAAAGTGGATTTTTTCGAAAAAAGAGGCTAAAAAGAGGAATTTTAAAAGAACAGAAGAAAAGGAGGAAAAAGAGGTGGAGGGGGATGCCAGCTCAAAGCTGCCAAAATGATTATAACATAATAATAGATTTATGTATTTCGAAATATTTTTTTCAAATGATAACTCTCATCTTCCTCTACAAAATAACACAATTTGATCAATAACTTTGTATAAGTTTGTTGTGGATATTATCGATTTATAGAGAGGAGTCGAAACTTTCGAACCATCCTTTAGTTATCAAATTCTACGGAATTTAAACCTCGCAAGAGGATCTGTAGCGCTTACCATTATAAGCGAAAAAAAAGTCTCTCAATTGACTCTCGGTGCTGGCTTGGCTTAAAAGTTGAGCCTACCCTAGACCAAGACCGCTCCGCCGCCGATGGTCGATAGCAATACTGGTTGAGAACAATTAGTATTGCGACATATCTACTTAAAATCGCTATAAAGGGTGTGGGTGTGGGGCGTGGGTTTCGTTTTAACCTACGCCCACACACACACCCGAATTGAAATAATTACACAACTGAAGGGAATTGAAAAACTGAAATGATTCATTAGAAAAACAGTAAAGGGATTAAAAGGACTAAAGGGACCAAAGGAATTAAAAAGACTAAAGGAATAAAAGGGCTGAAGTGGCTAAAGGCAATAAAGGGGCTAAAGGGATTAAAGAGACTGACGGGATTAACGGGACTGACAGGATTAAAGGGAGTAAAGGGATTGAGGGGACTAAGTGGTTTGAAAAGACTAAAGGGATTGAACGGACTAAAGGGATTAAAAGGAGTAAAGGGACTAAAGGGATTCAAGGGTCTAAAGGGACTAAAATGATTAAAGGCATAAGAGTTGCTTATAGTTGTATAGAAAAGTTAGACCAGGATACCTTGAATTTCTTATGGATCTATGAAGTCGCTGGTGATCCTGCTGCATTGTGTCCAATTTTTGTTGGATCTGCAGGAGTTCTGCTGCTTGCCGCTGGCGCATTTCTTTAGCTTCCTCAGCCTGCCGTTCAATAATACGACGATAACTCTCCGCCTCAGCCTTCTGGTGCGTAATAAGATCATTATAACGTTTTTTTTGTTGACGAATTTCATTTTCAAAATAAACCTTGTTTGCATTAAACTCTTTGGTCATTTCGTTGATCTGTTTTTTCAACATAGCAACTTCATCAACCTTTAAATGGATGTCATGCGCTTTGACATGCACAGTTGGCGGTAACTTGACAATATAACTTAATAATTGTTTTCTTAGTGCTTGTCGTTCGTTCGAATTTTCTCGATTGATATAATTTAAAAAACACACTCTCTCTGCCGTAATTGGCACTTGAATAATATCTTGTAACACGAGTATTACTTCACCTTCATATTTCTTTGGTCGAGTTGCTGGAAGACCATTGATTACTAATAGGAGTGATTCGATATTCAATTGATATGCGGCATTAATGGCATTGAATGCAACCACATCTTCATCACGAATGCGACCGTTTTGCTGTCCAAATACATATATAATAAGCGAGCTTGGTCGTTGAGTGAATGCATGATCGATTTCAGGTTTATTGATGTCAACACGAGTCTGAAAAATAAAACAAGAATATCGACGTGGAATCAATGATATCTCATTGGTATTTATTACTTGATCAGCTTCAATTAAACTTGGAATATTAAAAACAGTATAATGGTGATCATCAAAAGTAATTTCCTGAAACTCGGTGTGATGAGTAACAGATCTAGCAGAGAATTCATGTTTGAATATTTCTCTGTCGAGTAGAATATTAGCTAGGAAACTTATTCCAACACCACTATTTCCAAGAATAATCAAACCAAATTGATTTTTATTGTTTCCGGCCATATCAACGCTTTAATAGTCGAGTATGTCACGCGTTTTCGCTATTCAATGAATCAACGTCGTTTATTATTATTTCTATCTGTTGTGTCTACTCTTGTCGGAATAAATGATATCATAAGAATCACTCCAGTTAAAGATAAGAGAAGATAAAAACAACAAAACCGACCATTTTCCAGTATTTTTTTGACTTCTTACTATGCAATATTTTGTGAAGATAAGAGAAACATTAGGTATGACTTCAATAGATTTTTTGTTTCTGCTTTTTTCTTTTTTTTGTTATCAGTACGTTATACTGGCTCTTATATTTTTTTTAAACTACATCGTTATTTTGTACGAGCATTAATCATCCGCCAAACAATGCCGAACTCTTGTTATGTATGCTCTTCGCCGAAAAACATTTCGTCGAAAGTACTTTTTTGGCCACCGAGGGCGTCCTAAAGGTGAGGGTGAGGATAAAATGAGTTGACTTCTTCATGCCACGGAACTTAAAATCGTTTTGTAAAACAGTACCAAACCTTCAAAGTTCGGTAGAACACCTATTTTTTTTACAGTGTATAATCTTTCGCAGTTTCGAACTCATCCAGCTTCAGCAACGTTACAGATTGAGTGTCTTCCACATTATAACAATCCCTTCTTTTCAACATGCCTATATTTTTAATTTAAATTTTTTCTCATTCCTCAAAAACAAAAAGTATTCACAGTAAAATTGAAAAATGCGAAAATGTTTGAAAAAATTCATCGAAATGAAAGATCAATGACCAATAGCAATCATGCTCTTACACACAGGCAATTAGAGATAAACACCTTTCAACAAGCATACTACAGATACTTACTTAATCTTTTGGCATAATTAATTCGACTGTATTCTTTCAGTATTTCCGCACTTCATTTTCTTCCTTTCCACCCTTTTTTCATGATTTCATGGAAGTCTTCGGTACTACTTATTTTTCGGTCATGTGAAAAGAATCTTCTCTATAGTATGAGCTATATGTCACTCCTTAACGTAGCGCCAGGCTTATGAACATTTAGGATACTATTCATCTAGCTGCAAAATATTTTATATCCTACTTAGAACATTTAAGAGTTTACAATAACAGAGAAAAAAAAGTTTTAGCAAGCACGAAAACTTATACCTTAATCCGTATTGTATGAGACTAAAGTTATAACTGCTGGAGTGTCGCTTGAAGGCTATAGTGATAAGGATATAATTATTAGGATACAGACATACGGATATGGATGTAAGAATATAGGCATAAAAATATAGGTATAAGGGTATAGCTGTAAAGATATAGTTTACAAATTATTAATATCTTTGCATTGTGTTTAATGACTATATCTGGATTTCTTACGCGTTTGCTTGCCCAATAATGTGCTAAGAAAGGCAGACAATAGATTTTTGACCATTGGTGTCAGAAATCTTAATATTTATTGCATATTTGACAGATGATAGTAAATCGAAAAGAGAACAACTACTGAAGCTTAATGATTAAAATCCGATCGGATCTTATCGAATCTGTTAAGTTTTGTTGTAGGATCCAATAAAACCTTGTCGGGTCATTTCATTGGAACTTGTTGGATCCGATCGAACCCGACAAGATCCAATGGTCGAATTTTTTGCCCTGGGTTGTTCTAGTTTGCATTTTATTAAATTAACGTAACGATTAGATATTGAAATTGAAAGCAATATTGTTACGTTACTTAAATGTTGTGATCTAGATTATTGTAGATGTTGACATCAAGAGCAATGCTAGATATGTATGGATTGATTATTATCGGTAATAGTGGTGTGGGTAAGAGCTTTTTAGCTAATATTATTCTTGGTAAACATCATTTCAAGCATGATTTTTCTGCTCGATCTGTAACACATCGAACTGAATCAACAACATGCATATTGGGTGACAAACATTATAGAATTTATAACATTCCTGGTTTGATTGAAGGTGACGAAGAACGTATCGCTCTAAATAGACGTGAAATCAGCCGAGCATTTGAAGAACAGAAAGAACATCCACTTGTTGTTATTTATGTATTTGGACATCAGAACGGGAGAATTCGAAACGAAGATATTGTTACGTTTCAAGCCATTCATAACGCTTATACACTTAGTCCGAATTCCTTAATAATAATAGTTAATGGACTACCTCCTGATCGACCCAACACATATAATAAAAAGACTCGAGCTGCACACATTGATTTACTTGGCATGAAGCTAGATCAAATTTGTTATATTGATCATCTCAATTCAGTTGACATACACCAAGAGGACGTTCGAAAATATTTAATTGATACCATTTTAAATGTTCATCCTCGAATACACATTAAAACTAACAATATTAATCTGATGACTGATGACATTTTCGAACTCAAAGATGATCTCGACATATTGAAAATTCAAATCGATAACGAACGATACGAACATGAAGATGTAATAGGAAGTATGGAGAGAGAGTATGAAGCGGTTCAGCGTTTATCAGGTGAGAAAAATTCGACATTGGTTCATTTGGATGAACTTAGGTTTTTATTTTATTATTTTAGTTCTACGACGTTTATTTTGTCAAGGAAAAGCTAATCTTTATCGATTAAAAAGTTTTCATGAACAGGATAGACATTTGATAAGTGTTATCGGACAATGGGAAGCAGAAGAAATCGCTTATGCAGATGATCATTCCTCTGATCATTATATTCTAGCTGTAACAAATAAGCAAGATGCTCAAGAACAATTAACAAAAAGTTTTGCTACACAACGTCAAATTAACGTTGCACTAAACGTATGTCAAAAAGATATTGAACAAATTAGTTTTGAACTTGAGCAAATTTATGATGGAAGATTTGATCGTGAGTATGAACCTATCCGTGAATATTATGTTCTTCTTGATAATTTGCGCTTTGATCCAAGTGTTATTAACGTACAACATGATTTTATCAATAATTTATGTGCTTTTACATGCCGTCGTTATGGTAATATTGACTAAGAATATCGACAAATATTCTTTCGGATTCCATATCAATCAAAATATAGAACTTTATTCATTAAACAGTTAAGATTAATTAATTTTGTTAAAGAATAATATAATAACAAGGGTGTGGGTGTTGGTTGAGATATGTAAAACCGGACCCACACTCACACCCATACTGGTCAATCATTATTTATTAGAAATGCTTATTAACTTTGGATTGTTTTTTCTGTAAAAATATGTTTAACTTTTACATTTGATAGATATGACATATATCAATAAAGATTAGTTTGATTATCTCATATATTTGAAATTGTCGAATAAATGAAAAACAAATCGGTTGTCTATTCATAGTCATTGGTATAATTGTAAAAGTAGTATGTTGTTTTATATGAATTATTGCAATAGATTACATTGCATTTTGTATATGAAGATTGAATATCATGTTTGATAGCGCTTGTTGGTAAACCTTAATCAATAACTTTAACATTTTTGTGCCTTGAAGTATTAGTTACTAATTATCAAATTTTCATGCTCCCTTTCGATCATTTGTGACTATCATTTATTTATGGCTTCTTTTTAATTCTAGTTTAATATTGTCACAGGGGCGAAATTCGAAATACTTTTTCTGAATACCATTGTCGACGATTGAAAAGTTAGATATATCTCGAATTTCATGTCGATTGAATGAAGATTTGTAGTAAAAACATGAGAAAAAAAGAAAAGAAAATCACTAGATTTACTTTCTGATTAAATATTGTAGTACAGATGATTTTCCTAATTGAGATAGAAAACTACGTCATTATCCATTGCTATTGGTATTCATGGATTTTCGTTTTGTCCATCCTGTCATCTTTGATTTTGGTGAAGAAGACATCAATATCTTGTCTCCTGCTTGATGAGATTGTTAACAAATAGATGAAGCAAGTAAAGAAGTTGATGACTATTCTGGCATAACTGTTAGTGATGGTGGAGGAAAAGATGTGCTTTGACTACTATCACTTGTACTTGTTGTTGTTACTCCTCGAGATAAAAGTAATAATCGAGAAAAAGTAGCATAAGATAGAGAACATGTACTAGATTGATGATACATTTGATGTCGATGATGACATACTATTGGAAGATGACGATGACGAATCATTGTTAATAAATATTCTGGTATACATTCATATTGATGATTTTGTATATTATCAACATTATTACCAGTCCTGTTTATTATTGATGGAGAATCAGAATTATTAGCTAAATTTGTATTATGACGATAAGAAATAAAAGATAATAAAGATTCTTCAATCATGGGAGTTAATTGATGAGAATAATAATCATTAGAACAATTGAAGGTATTTTATGTACACTATAAAACAAAATGAAAATATTTTTAATTTATTTTCTTATATGATGATATCTGATCTTAGTGATCGAAACTTATTTTCTCATTCAAATACAGACACCTTTAACTTGAGGGTGTGGGTGTGGGTGGGTGTGAGTGTGGGTGTGGGTGGGTGTG